GTCACGGCGCTGCCGGGGAGCCCTCGCGCGCATCGCCCAGCGCGTGTTCACGAGCGCCCCGGGGCTCCCGGGGGCTCGGCGCGGCTCCGGCTCTCCCGGGCACTGCCGGGCTCTGACCCGTCCCTTTGCTGAGCTGCAGCACAGACACTTTGCCGCTTACTCCGAAGCGTTGCCCCAGCGCACTTCAGAGTAACACCGGGAAGGATCTGGCGGCTGCCGGGGTGGTGCCGTCACGCTCCCCGTGCAACAACCAAAGCGGTTTCTATTTTAAGAAAAAAAGAGTGATTAAAGTGTTTGCCTAGGCAGGTATTTCAGTCTGCTTTGGTTCCCGTGTGACTTGTGGCAAGTCACATAGCTCGCCCCGTGCTTCGCTTCCCTACCAGCAACAGAAGGAAATTATAGTTTCAGGGATAATAATGCTTCCTACCTCACAGGCATATTGTGAGAATGAATGTGAAAAACACTCCGAGGTGCGCAGACATTACAGCATTAGTTGTAGGTTATCATGGAAGATGGGGAACAGAACACTACAGATATGATTACCCTTCAAAACAGGAGAAATAGAGAACCCACAGAAAATAAACATGCGAGGCAGTCTGAGAAGTGGGGAAGGGAAGCCACAGCACAAATAGCAAGGAGTGAACTGCACATTGCTAGAAGTGTCTCTTCATCAGGTCCCATGGATGATTTTTTTTTCAAGTTTTCACACATCTTATGTCAGTGATTTAAAGAAACACTAAGGAAGCACCCCACATTTATATGTAAAACCCTGCCTTAAGTATCATGTGAACTGTTATTTTTGGCAATCAGGCATATTGTTTACAAATAGGAAAAAACTTATCTTGTCCATGTGACAAGCATATTTGGAATATTCAGTAACTTAAATCAGTCAACCCAAATTTACTAGGTTAATATATTGCAACTTAAATTGCTTATAGCAGTATCAAGCAGGAAACATAATCAATTTTAAAAAAAAAATAAATTAAGCATCCATAACCAGTATTTAAACTGGTATCTTACTTGACCCCAGTTTATTGCCACTGAAAGAGCCATGTGAAATTATACTCCTCTGAATCTAAGTATCAGAAAATCTTATGGTTTCTATTTACTAGTCTAAGTTGGTATTACACTAATAGAGAAGGAATTTGTCATTACTTCTGACATCTATTTGTTTATTGCAAGTATTTCCAAACTGCAGGAATGTTTCGTACAACTGCCAATCAAGGTCTTAGATCCTTTCTGGCTGTTGGATCAGATCATGAAATCTGATATCTGATGATGAGATGCTTCACCAGATACTGAGCAGAGAGAAATTAATGAGAAGTTAATTTGTGTAACTTTTGTTTCATATCCACACTTACTCCAGATCTTTGCATTTAGCTGCATTTCTTATGGTAGACTGGCAGAAAGAGTTAAGACTTCACTCAAACCTGTGCTTAGTTTGCTGCAAACATTATTTTCCAATTGATAATAAATGGGTACCAAAGGCTGTGGGACTAAAGCACTGTTTGGCTGGTTTTTGTAAGGTGTTTTTCACTAAATTTCCTAAGATGCTGTTAGAGGTATGAAACTTTAATATTTGTTCTTTGTTTTTCTAGGTAGCATCCAGTGCTTTGCTGCTGCAGTGCACAATAGCTCTTCCCAAATAAGTAGGATAACTCCTGTACTTACAGCTAAATTGTGCTTAAAAGCTGCAATGCATCAAGACCTTTAAAATGTGTTAAGGCCCAGAGATCTCAGGTCCACTGAGAGCTGGGTGCCTGGTGGTGTGACCTGGTGCAATCTGGTGGTGTGAGCAGGAGGGACCCCTCGCAGAGTGCTGGAATTCCTTAAAAATCCAGCAACTGGGAAATGACGAGTGTGAGGAACAGACTGCAGAACTGGACATTCGGTGTCTGTGCAGGACTTTGAATGCAGAAGTCACCACAATGATGCCAAGCTCTTATACTGTGCTTTTTACTTATAGCCATGTAAGAACCTAAACAAGGAGGTAGGTATGGTTATCTCTCTTACATATAGGGAAACTGAGTCATTACTCATGGAAATAACTTGTCCAAAGTCAATGGGATCAGAGATTGAGGAAGGAATTCAATTCAGACCTTCTGAATTCCTGTCTGGTGTCACTGCTGCTCAGCAACCCAGCTTCTCTTAAAACTGCTTTTTTTCTAATTTGTAGTTTCCGAAGCACCGTGCTATAAATAGAACACACACACTGTGACAATGTTTGCTCTCTGCTTTCAGGCAGTGCTTTCATACATTTCTGAAGCACAAACATGCTTTGCATTTTGAGATCTCAAACAGGTAGCCCTATTGCTTCTTCACTATCAATATTCGACTATTGTATTTCCATAACCCCATCTTTCTCAGATTGCACAGGATTTCATCAGCAATTGGAAACTTCTTTTCATACATCAGTCTTTATTTTTCAGTGAGGATTTTAGGTTCCCAAGGAGATCAGGCTCAGGCCATACTACTTCTCCTTATACTTAAAAATGTTTATTTGTTTTATGTAGGGGAGATCAGTTGGATTGATTGAGACTAATATATTTTTCATTAATTTCTGTTAGCAGACAAAGCTGCTGAGACAGGTACTGGTCTCACAGTAAGACACTCAAATATCTCTCTGAAGCTATTTAATAGACCTACTCTGCTGTAATGTCTGTCACAGTCTGGCTGGCTGTGTTGAAAAATTAAAACCAGAATTTATGTTCTTACCACAGAAGAATTTACTTACAACATTGTGGTCATTAAGATTTGAAGACAAATTAATACAAGACTCAATTTTGATAAACTATGCTGATGTCACACATTTTATTTAGGTTTCTGATTGCCAATACTTTTATGAGAAAAATATCTTACCCCTAATAATCTGCTGTCATGAAACACCTGTATTTGATTCTCCAGTCAATATTTTCTTAAGTTTTATGATCATCCTGTAGACCTTACTTTATTATTCATTGATTAATGATGTCAGACACCAGTAGAAGATTGGGGACAAGGACTTTGTTTATCTCTGCCCTGCCAAACCAGTTTTGTGGGTCAACAGCAGATTTCGGTTTCAATGCTGTCAACCTTGTCTTTTCAAGAGTATCATTTTCACTATTAAAAGCTTTCTAGCAGTTTTTAGTCTTCATTCTTTTGTATTAATTTTTATTTGCATTTATTGCATTAGCAATATTTGAATGCCAAGATCACTGGTGTCAGCATAATATTGCACTTTACTTAAAGGTGCACTGAAAGCAAAAGCTTTAAGTCATTTCAGTACCAGATATAACCTATTCAATAATTCAATCTGTACTTTTTCAACAGACATAAATTATTGACCAGAGAATGGCCCACCGAAGCCCAATCTTCCCAACTCTTGCCCCTTCTGAAAGGTACAGTCTGGAATATAAAAGCAAAAATCTTCATATTGCAGAGTATTATGTATCTCTTAATGCCCTATATACAGTAATGCTGTGACCTGGGACTTTGGCATTAGTGTGCAAAGCAAAGTGAAATACCATAGATATTCAGATCACAGCCCAAATCACAAGTCCTTACTCAGCTTTTGCTTAGCCATTTCCCAAAGAAATTAAATAGCTTAAATCTCACTGACTAGAAGTCCAAGAACAGTTTAGCCAGTGTTCAAAGAGTGTGGAATGAGTTGTGAAAACACAGAGGCAAAAGTGACCTGTGTTGGAATCCTCATCCATCGCTATCAATATCATCATGGTCAAACTGAACTGCTAATTTGGCTCATTAGCAGGAAACAATATGAGAATACACAGTAAATAACAGAGTTCCAAAGCGACGTTGAACTTGTATTCTCCACCTATGCTTCTGAAAGTGTTGTTTTCTTTACAGAACATAGTGGCAGGAAAAGGTTGCATGCATTAGCAGCCTCATTTTATTGCTTTCAGCACCCATGAGCTCCACTGCTTTCCATGGGAGCTATGCAGTGCAGAGCACTCTTCAAAAATCTCAGTAATTATTCAAGGTACCCAAATGTAAGCTGTTTTGAGGGGAAACTTAACTTCTAAGACTGTGAGAAGCTTGTCATAATATTGGTCTCACCCCAGTTTCTATGCCCATGTATGCTCCTGTCCAGTTTGCAGGGGAACAAGCTTCTGTATGGTATTACAGGGTAGCTACAGAGACAGAAAAGGGATTGACACAAGCTACTCCTTTTTAATCCTGGTCTGTTTTCATTTAATTTATAATACCTACCTTCCTTCAACTGTTACAGCTTTGGTTAAGCCTGAAAATTGTAAAGACAAATAACATTACTTTTGAAACTCAGTAGAAGGGTTTGAATTTGGGTTCTTAATCAAATCACAGTTCTGATTTGTAACTAATTTTATTATGCTAATGTCCTTTTCTTATAATCTTATGCTTTTGTAAACCTCCTTAAAGAGTATGAAAAAAAGCCTGACCTGCCTTTGTACAAGACCCACCATAGCCAACATATCACCCCCTTATTTGTAGCAGTGGGTGCTCTCTCTGGGAGTATTTTGGGGTTTCTGTCCAGCACTGCCAGTACTCAGACAGTGTTACACCATCTCCAGTGCAAAGGCACTGCAGAGTTTGGTGTGAGAACTTAACAAGATGTGGATATTGTTCCCCTCTAGACGGGTCCGAAACATCCCTCTGCACAGCCAGGCACTGACAGCGGTCCCGCTGGCATCCGCCAGCCTGGTGGATCAGCTGGAGGACAGAATCCTGAGCCATGAGAAAACAACAGCGGCTCTTGTGGAACACGCTTTTCGCATTAAGGAGGACATTGTTTCCACGCTGCACAGAATGCAGAACAAAGGGGGGGGTGACCGGTTGGCAAGGCAACTCCTGGAGGAACACATCCGAAACATAACAGCGATAGTGAGGCAGCTCAATCGGGACATCGAGGTATGGCAAGAATGCTGCACAGCACTAATGCCATCTCAGCTATTTATTGCTTCCAATTTCCCAACAAAGTTTACCACAGGATAAGTAAAGGTCAGACAAGGTCTGAAGATCCTGTAAGCTTATAAATTGTTTTTACAACTTGAAAAAGTGTTTGCAAATTACATAATTCTTTGGTGGTTATGAAAATAGCACAGGATATTAGCATATAAACACAGGAGCCTTTGTGGTTCTAATAAGCTTGCTTTCAAAAGCTGCACTGGAAAATCTTGAAAAAATGAATTAATGCGACACTAATACCCAGCTCAACTTCAGTCCAAAGGCTGTGCTGTATAAACAGTAGGAAATGCCTTCGCTGTAGAATAAACTTTCGTTCCCTTCCGACTCACTGACGACATGAAGTAACCAAACCCAAGAGCTCATTTTTATGACCTAATGGTAGGCAGACACATGACTTCATGTCTGCCCTCTGCTGCAGTGAACAACAGGGGTGTGGTGGGGAAAACAAAAGGGAAAAAAAATAAATCAAGTCTCCATTTCACTGTCAAGTTATACTTTATATATATTATGGTAGTTGCATGCAGATTGGACACTAATAATAAGAAATAATGGAATACCCAATAGGTATCTTGTTTAGTACATTACAAGACGAAGCTTTGAATAAAGTAAGAATAAAATGGTATCTGAGGATACTGAATTACTGAAAAATAATGAGTGACATTTAAAGTGTACATTAAATGTGACATACTGAGTTTTTATTTGCATATGAATGCTCTGTAGATGCTGCAGGAACAGATACGTGTCAGAGACAATCTCAGCTACGGAACAAATTCTACCCTGAAGAGTCTTGAAATGCGGCAGCTTTCTGGCCTAGGAGATCTTCGGGGAAGAGTTGCAAGGTAAAAATCCCCATGGCACTGTGTTTTGGGGGCTGGCTAATCTTGTTTTAATGCTGAAGTATTAATGATAATGGGTTGAATTCAACTTTGGCAAAATTCCAAGGATAATTTTGCTCTGTGTTTTCAAGGAAATGCATAATAATGCCTTCCATTCCAGTATTATATATTAATTTGACAATATCATCCTTAATTCCTAAAATTCCTGAAATTAGTTCTAAATCAATTACTTCAAATTCCCTGGGAATCTGGATTTGGTTCAGCTTTTGAAAAGTACCGTGGTTAGACTCATGTGTCTTTGAAACACATTAATTAGCACAATTGTAAAGGCAGCACGGAACAATCTGCACTTGTGAAGAACAAAATAGTTGCACATTTTTGCATATATTTTAGAAGTAAAAATCTGCACATTCAGTTAGTGGTTAGCCATATTAAATCCCACATGGGCTACATGACACATAAGGAACAGAAAACAGTACAATAACAGAGGTTTTACAGGCTCCAGGTTACAATTGTGTGGCTACACAGACTTCAGTTGTGCCATCAACACATTTACAAGCCCCAGCACAACAACATTTGCTTAAGTGCCTGTAAGGTTGAACATGAAAGACAGAGGATATGTACAGCTACAGGAAAAGGACATAACCTGGCCTACTGATGCTTGGGTAATAACTTTGGTGGAGTTATACTTGTCCTGAATTTGACCTGTTGTCTATATTGTACAGATAATTTTGCTTCCTTTTCTGCACATCACCTGATTTAGTGATAACTTTCAACAGCATACAGAAATAATCAGAGAGGGATTTTCATTGAAATAAGGTTTTCTCATAAATTACTCAATTGTCTGTAACTTTCATAGCTCATTTTGTAGAAAATACTTTAGAGAGTATTTAAAAAGGATTAAACACTTAGCAAGTTATGCACTATCCTTTCGGAAACACAAATGAACTGGTTTATTTTTTTCAAATCAGAAAATTGATGGAAAAACCTTATTGAGAGATATGCATACACATATCTATCCTGCTGAGAAATCCCACCAGAATTGTCCATGCTTATATCTTCCTGCTTCTTTCTATAAAAATACTTTGAGATCATACCACATCCTGAGAGGGGTTCTCTGTGGAGCAGCACTGTTACTAACACCTTGGGAGGCAAAATGTGGTGCTTTTGCCCTCAGTCAGGGAACTCAGGAGAAGAACTTGTGCTGGTGTGGGTGTCACTGCAGGGCCCTGTCCTGGCCCAAGTACTTGGTGTGGGATGGTGGGGATGGGCACAGGCTGTGCCAGGGCTTCTTCCTTTATTTCCTTAGGGCACCACCCTTGTGCTGTGCCTGGGCTGCAACTTATCTGTAAATTGCATGAGATTATACCCTTGTGCCTTATGTCAGACTGTGTGATGAATGCAGGTTATTTGTATTCATTCCTCTAAGAGAATCAGTTTATTGCCTTTTAACTGCTGCCTTCCATTCTGCATCCTATGCTTCTATTCAGCATGCTCTCTACTAAAAAAACAAACAAAAAACCCCAAACAAACAAAAACCAAACCAAAACAAAAAACCCAAAAAACTTTTCCCTTTATCAGAAAGCAATTTAAAGCAGTGGTCCATGAGAGAAAGCTATTTGACTTTATTTACAAACATATTCTACTTTGAAATTAGTGATCCAGTGAATAATGATTATAGCACTAGCTGGAGATAATGGTCAAGAGAGTAGTTTGTTGTGCCTTTGGTGCAATACAGAGACTTTCCCTGAGATAAACACCTTCTGATTACTTTAGCCAATGCTCCTTAAATAAAATACACTTTACTCATCTAGTGTACTTTTAACTCCAGTGGTGCTAGCTTCCAGATGAGTTCAGAGTGAAACATTAGAAACACGATCAAGTTTCTGTGGGTTACCACCTTCCTGTGCATCAACTTTCAGCCACAGTGAAGGTACATTGAGAGGCTCAGGCTGCAGCAGCTCTGAGCACTGTGTTTGCTCCAGGCTGGCAGCATGCACAAGGACAGTGGGAATCAGTTTAGAGAGTAAATCCCAAAGCCTGAGCCCTTTGTCATGTAATAACTTTAGTGTCCATCTTAGGATTCTGGCCAAATTTCACTTCCAGTAATTTCACGCATACTAAACATCTTGTCCAAGTTCAGTATTGGAGAGAAGGGTGTTTATTTCCTAACACCAGCTGTTCTGTAACATGTCAGTATATCATCAAACAACTGTCTCAATATTTCTTGAGGGCTGGTGCTGTTAATGATGGGAACAAAGGGATCCCTACATGCACATGCAGCTCTGAAGCCCAGCTCCAAACCACGCTGCCCACAGCCCTGCAGGAGAGAGATTTCAACATACCTCACTCACATCACAGAATCAACTCATTGCTATCAGAAGATGACAGAATATACATTACATCTCATACCTCTGGATCCTTTCTCAATAAGCATAGTTTACTGATGAATTTGTAAAGTGTTATCACAGCCCTGAATTATTGCTGAAAATCAGCATTATTATTAACTTTAAGAAAAAAATATTACCTCTATAAAATTCAGCGACATATTTAGCAGAAAGTTAGATTGAAGCCAGTAGATTAAATCTCCAGCCTCCTGTCCCTTGTGTTCTCAATTTTATATTATACAGATTTACCAATTCTTTTTTCTAGTGATAACAGATCATAAAATTCATTAGTGCCTTATCATTTACTTAGAAAATTACTTGTGGATAATGAGAATTTGTCTGGAAAGTTTAAATCCAGCAGCCTGGTTGGAATGATAGCAGTAGCTCTTCATAAAAGAAGATCTCATTCTTCCTGAGAGCTGAAACATCCAGAGAAATGGCAAATATGTATGTTCAATTGTGCCTACTTTGCATATAGAGATGACTTTTTTATCTACATTATAGAACTGATTCATTTCAGACAACCTGGACTCATTACACGTAGGCAGATTTTCCTGCTTCACAGATGATGAGTCTGATGCATCTGCGCTGCACCACATTGATGAACTCCCCAAGAACAATAAATGTGCTGCTCTCTGGCCCTTGCTGTGTGGGAGGTGACACCACAGGGGCAGCTCTGGGCTCCCTGCCCCACATCCAATCCACCAGCTCTGCTGCTCTTGCCAGTGCCCCCACTGGGCATTCCCACTTGCTTTGCACTACCTGTTCTCCAGCTACTTGTTTTTCACTGAAACACTGGCATTTTAACTGAAACATCTCCTGTTACAATAAACCAGGAACAATAAAAGCTCTCTCCATACCATTACAGATGTGCATATAGCAGCCAGCTATGGAGCACTGGCACAGTTCTCACTTTATCTGTGCCCAGTGATACTGAATGGAGCAACAACTTAAGGACACATAATGAACAGAAAATTTCAATAACAGAGGTTTTACAGGCTCCAGGCTTTTGATTTCTTTGATGCTGAACACTAACATCTTCTTCCAAACCAATAATGTGTTTATGAGTGTGTATGACAGACATAGGAGATAAACCAAAGTAATCTGATCTATGCATACCAGGCAGACATTAGATTCATAGTCACATAGTCAGAATTTTAATGTTTCAGTTACCATGGAACTACATGAACCCTTTGACCACATAACTGAATTCTATGAAGGAGAGAGATGCTCTGTGATGAAACCCAAAACACTTATTTGCTTTAAAAAAAATTACAGGTGCTTTCTGATTACATTTACTTCAGTATTTTCAAAGCTGTTGCTTTTTATATTTTCTGCCATGCTTCAGAAAAACAAAACTAACCATTTTTTGGAGTCCACAACCTTTTGGTGACTAGATTCAAGATGATTCCATTCCTCTGATTCTCTCTGATTGCAACAATGTAGAGAGGTATGGCTTCTCTCATCTTTCTAAAGAAACAGCCTGATTGTGAGCCCCACAAGCTTTTCACTGCCATGTAAATCCTAGCCAGGTTTCCTGCAGATATTACTAAAGGGTCTCACAATGCTGAACTGCTGAACTAGAAATTAATTTCATCAAGTTTTATAATGTCTGTGTGCTATTTTACATGCTATTTTACGTTACTGATTATTTTCATATTAAAACTGTATTATAATAATAAGCAGAAGCTCCATTTGTCATTTTAGCTGTGAGTTTCCCTTCATGTTTAATGATAATGGCACTTCCTGTAACTGAGGTGATGAAAATGCATGATGAAATGAAAGCCTTCAAACTGAAATGTGACTAAAAAGGTGACAAAGTGTGTCATTGGTTTAGATAATGACTTAACATGCCTCAGCTTGTTCCATTTTACTGCCTTTTTTCGCTCAAATTGTAACTGCTGTCTGTTTCTTATATCAAATTTGGTAACACTGATGATTACATATTTCCCTTAGCAAAAAAATATATATATGACTCATACTTCACAGAGGTCTTACTCCTGAAATCACAGTACTCATATTTTTACAGCTCAGTTAATGTCCTCACTGCATTACTGTAGATGAAATCCACCTGATCAAATTATTTTTAAAATCTGGTAGAAACACACATGTTCTATAGCATATTTATCCTGGAAATGTTACAGCATCAAGAAATGTTCCAATGTGAAGAAAGAAAACAACAATTATTATGTTCCTGAACTTCATTTTATAGCCTTTTCTGAGACAAAACTGCCATTGCTTTCAACGACAATTTATTTATTCACCTAAATAAAGACTAAGAACCATTACATTTGCCCCACATTGTTAACTACACGTATTAGCTGTATACTACTATTTCACAAGTAAAATTGCAAAGCTACAATAATGAAAAAATGGTCCACAGTTATTTAGGCTACTCATCATGTAGGGGAACCCATACACACCTTATCAGATATCTTCTGGAGTATAACAAAAGGACAAGGAAATTAAATTCGGTATCTTTGCATTTCTGATGTGATTTTTCTGAGTGATAACACAGCCTACCCATTTCATGTCAGTGCCAAGAACAATGGGATTTGTGTATCAGACTATTTGACCTCAAGGCCTATTTGGGAGCACTCTGCTGAACACTATGAGATGTATTACCATTCTTACAGGCTCGAAGACATTTCTTCCCTAGCCAGCCAGGAATTCCACAGAAATGGCCAGTACAAAATGAATAATTAAAAAAGCCTGGACTTTATATTCCGTTTGGCTGGTGCTTTGTTTTTTATCTATTCAAACAGGTGTGATGCTGGGTTAGCCAGGCTGTCTGCAGAGCATAAAATTACGTATGAAAGACTTCAGAGTCTAAGTAAAGACCAACACACCTCCAAGCTGATCTTAGAATCTAAAATCAAAGAGGCAGAAATACAGGTATGGTATTTAGACCAAGACAATCCCTGTACAGGTAAGAGTTCAAGTCTGATTCACACAGACTCCATTACTGTTAATAATTATCCTGGGAGGTCATAGATTTACAAATGGAGAGGTGTATCAGCTCACAGTCCTTATTACATTGACCATTGGTGCCTAAATGCATTCCTGTACTGCTCTAACTGCAAAAGGTCCTTAATTTCTGCCTGCAGCATGCTGTGTAGAAGGGATTAGTATGTAAAGGCACATGCTCAACAAAACCACAACAATGCAAGCCTCTGTGTCTTTCACTGTACGTTTTGGCCTGCCCAGGATGATCCTATATGTATTTGAACACAATTTTTGAAGGTCTGCCAAACAAAACTGGCTTTGGGTTCTGTGAATCCATTAATCTGTCTGTCAGGTTTCTCTTCCATTGGGTTTGAGAATGGAAGTGAGCACTAAATACAAGCAGAGACTTGGAGATATGAAGAATCCTTTTCCTTAATGTCACATCTCAAGGCCTTCCCATTTTCTTGGTCAACAAAAGTACTTTACATCTTCATTTTGCGGTAGGTAAATGGCTAAAATCCACTTTGCCTTTCTCAGAAGCCTCAGTGTAGTGTATTAGCATGCCAGGAGCATGTTGTCATGCCTCTTGCAGTGAACCAGAATAGTATGCTTTGAGAAAGTGGGATGGTTGTTTTGGTGACAAATATTCTCTTGTAGTAATCACCTCTCCCCAGTTAAAGCCAGCACTTCTACCCCTGCAGCAGCCCTCATACACAAAGCCATGGAGCACATCCCTCAGTAGTGGTGGAGTGCTTCAGCACTTGTTTATTCTGATTGTGTAGCAACTTGGAGATGTATGGATCATGCAAATTCAGCTGTCTCTAGGGGGGATCAGGCAGAGATTTTCAAGTCAAAGCTATTCACATCATTTAAGGCAAAAATAATTACAGTTTTCAAAATGCTGGTACTTTCGTATTGAGAGATAGTATATTTTCAAGATAAAGTAAAACATGCAAATTCAATAATTTTTGAAATGTTAGCAGAAGTGAGCTCTCTGTGAGACCTCCTTTACTGCTATGAAAATGTCCCCAATGAAACTGTGATGAAATGCTGTTGAAAAATAGTAAATTCTGAATTTTGTTTCAGATTTCTCATCTGCTGAGCAGAGTAGAGCAATCGATAATGCAACAAGAAGCAAAGCTGAAGATTGCCTACAAAGAGAGCAACCAACAGCTGCAAGTCCTGGACACAAAGTGCGTGCCTGGGAAGACTTGCTGCTGCCATGTACCTTGGGAATAGGGCCTCAGTTTTCCCAGCCTGACTGGTGTAATCTTCAGGCCTATAAAAGCAGGAAGCTCTATGAATTTGTGTGTTTGCTCCACAGATACTACAAAGGCTGACTGAGGTCAAGAGGGACCTGCTTTCACCAAGAATTCTGCCCCTAATGTGGTTAGGCAATTCTGAAAAGTTGATTAAGTTCCTAGTTAAGTATTCAGGCAGAACTTGTATTAAAGGACACAGCTGAGGGTTTTTGTCAGAGTGGCCTGGTGCCTTTCTGCAAGAGCTGTCCAAGCTGGAGGTGGCTGTCCAGAGCAGGGGAAAAAGTTCCAATGAAGCAAGCAGGAAGCAAAGCACAGCTCTCACAGAGTTCTACTGCTTTAAACTGGCTTCAAACATGAATATAACTGAAATACCTAAATTATTAGTGATCAGGTACTCTGTACTACCCAACATTACACGGGGTCATTATATTCAATTCAGATGTTAACTCCTCTCCAGGTATTTCACTCAGTAGCAGTTCTTGTATAAGCCATCCACAGCCCTGTTTCTTATCTCTGTCCCCATGCAACCCAGGTTTCACATGCTCACTGGAGAAAAGAAACAGTTTCACTGGCATGATTGGTTGGTATAAAGTTGGTGTGGGTATAGGCAATGGAAGTGGAGCTACAGGAACCAGCATTGTCACCAGAATTTTGGTGGCTACCAAATCTTTGCTCGGATTTAATACATATGGATATAAAGTTTATAATCTGAATGGATGACCATATTCTGTTTTCAATGTCAAAGTGAATTTTCATCTACTATGATTCAAATTTTGTAATGTGTTTCATAATAATTTGCTGTGAACTTTGACCTTCATTTTCTATGAAGGTTACCTTATCCAGTTTAATAGCCTTAAAATTCAAAGGCTTACCTTAATATGGTGTGAACAATATATTAAATTGCCATTTTGTGTTTTTATAAATATGTTTATAAAAAAAGTCACTGTTGAATGACTTGTTCTTCTCTTTTGCATCTGCTGATCTCTATTGTGCTCCTAGATTAAAAGACGCTGTTGAGGAGCTCAGCAATCAGATTTTGTCTGCGCGGAGCTGGTTGGAACAGGAACATGGAAGGACTGAAAAAGAGCTCGTACAAAAAATTGACCAACTCTCCCTGACTTTTAAGGAAAGTACTGTAAGTTTTATTCAGATGTCCTTTAATACTTCTCCAGAAGCATTCAAAAGAACTATTAATAAATAAGATTATGTAATTGAGATATTATTTGAGGGAAATTTTCAGATAGCCTCAGAATTTGCCTAAGTCTCTTCATTGGTATCAAGTGTAATACCTACAACCTGAGAATCTTTAAATTAATCTGGTCACTGCTAAATAGATCAGTATTTTAACCTACACTAATCAAGTAATTGGAAATGATTTTATGAAAAATTGTAATTCCTTACATTTTGAATTCCAGATAAAAGATGATTAATCAGTATATATTTCATATTTTTAAAAGGCCACTGTTATTCTACATGCAGAGTAAATCATTAAAATTATTTTCCCAGGAAATGAGTGAGAGAGGTATTGAGATGAAATTCAACCAAATGGCAGAGAAAATTGAGAGAATAGAAGAAATGCAGAAGATAACCATGGAAGCACATGAAGCAAAACAGACTGAAGAAAAGATAAATATTCGCATTATCAAACTTCAAAATGAGATAAATGAAGATATAAAAGAAATGAAAGCTGAAGTTAACGCTGGTAGGACCATGGTTATCCAGTTCATTATTCTGAATTGTGGTGATAGTGAACAACTGATACTAATGCAAAATGTCTTTGCTTGTATCAAAGTAGTTTAAATACTTTTGGGGCAGATGTAATGGCTACACCTGTGGCATTAAGAAGGATTTCCATTAAGTGTAAAAAGCAGAGCAATAAGGGGTGACAACCAGTTTAGAAGTATTCTCCCCAGAGCAGGCACAGCCATAGCTGGGCTGCCATCAGGGCATTTCTGCCATTGGCACAGTTACATTCCTTTTCCTTCAGAACTTTTGCTGTGTTCCTAACGCAGAGCAGAACATTATGGAAGTGCATTCTGATAGCAATGATGTGATACTCTTGTTCCTCATGATGAACTAATGTAATTCTCACCTGCAATTAGGCTTTGCAGCTATCTATGAGAGCATTGGGTCTCTACGGCAAGTTCTAGAAGCCAAAATGAAGCTGGACAGAGATGAACTACAGAAGCAGATCCACCAAATGAAGCAGGAGGTTCCAAGGTGGGGAGAGGCTGGACCATTACTTACTGCTCACAGCAGTAAATGCAAGCTGTTCATGGATAACTGGCAATGAGCCTTCTGAGCTGAGGTGCTGCTTTGCCACTGCACTACTCCTGTTGCTGTCAGGAAATTTAGCACTGTGTAAAACTGGAGTAATGCATTGGTAAAGTTGGCACCTAGTTTGCTAAAGGCATTCCAGTTTTGCAGTCTTGATCAGGCAGCTATTTGCTTTTATATGCACCTGCACCCCTCCACCTTTAAAAATAAAAAGGCAAGTTGCTATCTTTTGCTTCATATGAATTTGGCAAGGTTCTCCACCTTGATACAAATTACTTAGTTGAAATCAGTGAACATTTTTACAGTGACTTTCTCTCTTGGGAAGACAGAATTGGCACTAAACAGACCAATCTTCAAAATTTAGACACCATCAGAAAATCTTTGTTTAAGTTTGCAAATATACTCTGTGTGAAAACTAGGTATTGTTACATAATGTAGTTGTAACTAATATGGTTCATAAACAACATAAGAAACTTAACTTATATGGTCTTAAGTATTGTAACCTTCTAAAATTAATAGCCAAGAGGAGTTGACACAAGGGAAAAGATGTATATAGAGTATTTTTACTGGGCATATGTTCCTGTGATTTGCTTCATTATCTTGATAAAAACTTAGAAAGGTTTGAAAACTAAAGAGAAGGTGATGATTTAATCTAGTCTGGAGATTGTAATGTAAAATAAAATGCAGTTTATTATTTCCTTAGAAATTTTCATTGAAGTAAAAAAATTTATTCATCATATTTAAGTAGTCTTTAATAGTTTAGCAGATTCAAATTGCTAATTGCATTCACATTATTGCCAGATAATAATTTCCATTCCCAGAAGAGATTGCATAATGAAAATCAGCACCCATGTGGCATATTATCTAGATAGGAAAAAAAATATATGTTATTTTTACTTCTTCATTCATAGCATGATATATTGCTTCTCATGTTTGTAAATCATGCAGGATTAAACCCTTATGAAAAATAAGACTTTATCCAGCATCCTATTAATTTATACTATTAATAGTAATTAATATACAAAAATAATACTAATTCACAGAATTTACAGTAGTGTTAACCTAAATAAATTAATGTAGGATGTCTCTACACTGCCCTTAATGAACCTTTCATTCAGCTAGTATTGGAAAAATGTATTTTGATTTAGAAAATCAGTGGCAAATATCACTTCCATAAAAGACATTTTGGTCCATAGAGTCACCATATATAAAACAAACAAAGAATTAAAAAAACTGCTTCAAGAACTTAGTCATTAACTTCAGTAAGTCAGTGTAGAGTAAAAATCAAATAAATGCATACATCTTTACAGGATTAACACCCAAGTTTATATTCACTTCCTCTATAGTTGAAAGTCATTGAAGTCTCAAAGACACATTAAGCATTTGCAGCTTTGCCTTCCAGTGCTCTCTGACACAAACCAGGAATACCAGAGGCAGTTTTGTTATCATCCATGTCCTGTGAAACATATTTACAATGGCACCTGAGGGGAAAGCCCAGTTCCCTAAAGAGAGATAATTAAATGCTTGTAGATATTTCTCAGGAATTGTCTCCAAATTTCAAACTTACTTCATGTATGTATTCTTATCTATTCTTAAATATTTAGCCATGTGCAGTAGAAAAGCTATCACTGGTGTTTTATTAAAAAACTCCCAAACAATAACAAAGAGAGAAATGGAAAGTGACAGACCAAAACCAGACTAAATTTTAAATTTTGTAATTGGAAGTCTGTACCTGAGAAAATCTGGTATGATATGAAGAGCATACAAGGAATCAGAAACAAATTATATATGACTTTAATAAACTGTTTCTCTTGTAAAAATCTTGTATGATTGACCCAGATATAAAACAACACATGAAACCAAATCCAATTTTACCTTTTCTGTCTTAAAAATATTTTTTTCCTAAATCTCAGCTAAAGCAAATAAGTAAAAGCCCAAATAAAATAATATCAACCTACTGCCAAGCAGTGTCTTCAAACCCTAAAGTGCTAAGTGGAGGGAGGCCCAGGGCCAGCCATGTCTCGTGGCCATTGTCTGCCAGGGAGTGCTCATATGTGCTGAGTCCTTCTAGGGAGAGTTTAGAGTTGCTTCTGAGGATCCTCTGATCATCTTAACATGTAAGGGCAAAATCCTCTCCTCAGACCCAGCATCCCCTCAGGGGAACAACTGTGAAGCCACGAGGACAGTGCTGCAGACACTGATCTGTGGAAGCTTCATTTTGCCAAACAGAAACTGATTCTGACCCACAGAGATCCTGTAAAGCCAAATAGAAGGAAACAGCAGTGCTTGAAACCAGAGCTGTCCCTATTTTTTCCTTCTAAGCTGGTGTCCAATGGGATTTCTGTGTTCCAGTCCTTCAGGGACAACAGGGTCCACTTTTGATGGTGAAATAATATGCTTTCTTTGTTCAGCACAAGTACTCATGCTATGAATCTCAGGTTTCTGCACCAAGTTCAAGCCTGCCAAGGCCACAAAAGGAACGAGGTAGTGAGGTAGTGTTTGTGTGGATGGCACTTGAGCAACAGAATGAGACTTGGGAAAGTATAATACCAAATGTGCACAAAGTACTATTTAAATCACAAAGTTCACTGACACAACCATAAACTCCCTGAAAGAAGGACTGGGAGGAGCCTTAGGAAGTCATCTGCTCCACCTCTCCACCTTGAAATAGATCCAACTCTACCTAAAATATTTGTCATAGACACTTCTGTAACTTGCTTATAACAGTCTTTTAAGAATAAGCTATTGATTAATGCAGTTTGTTCCACTGCTTAAAGAAGATTGCCTTGCCACCCAAACACCTAAACTAGGACAAAACATAATGGCCTTAAATTTCAAGCACAGAGGACACAAAATCTAGTTTATTACATTCTTTCCTGCATGTTCATTAGTTATTTAAGGCAATCTGTGTATAACACATGATTCAAATGAAGCTCCACAGGGATATTTGCACAATATTTCTTAATTTTCTTTTCCTTCCTACTTTCATATAAAACCCACCAAACCAGCAACACCCAGCCCAAAGAAACCACCACCACAAAACCACCAAAACAGCCAAAAGCAGACCACTTAAAACTCCTAAAGGTTTAAAATCTTTCTTTTGTCAGCTATTTCATGTGCATGAGGCTTAAATCACTTGTGGTGTGCAGACCATACTGTTCAATCAGCTGTGTAGCACATACTGAGTGTCATAAGTTACCCACTGGAAAATGTTTAACTGGGGTTTTACATGGGGTTTACATGGCTTTTACATTCGCATGTGATAACACAGTAGAACCATGGTTCTGTGCAGTGAGGGACTTGGCTGGAATCAGAATTATGTCAGTAATTACAGAACAGTTGTGCTGTTTATACTCATTAAACAAACCAAAGGAATGGTGCCAGGAAGAAGTTTAAAGGATGACCCTAACTCCCACATGCAGTTGTTTATGTAGTAAGTTTTGTGTTGTGGATACTCTATATTGTGGATATCTTTGTCATTACAATCTGATATAGTTCAATAGACAGTTGCCATGTTAGAGAAAAGCAGGGTGAATGATAATGAAGAGCATTGTATTCCTATAACATCAATTTAAACTGAAAGTCAAAACTTCCTTTTCTCAATTTCTGTTTTGTGTTCCACCTCCATGAGCATCTGGCCATCTGGGGCAGAATGCTCTGTATGTAAGAATTAAAGTGCTCATTAGACATGTTTTCCAATAATGAAAACGTCTAATAAGACACGGATGACAATCGGATGAAACCCTCCTATGTGTAGGGGAGGAATTCCTCCTGTGACACTCCCCACGGTGTAAGAAATTCGGAGAAAAATTTGGAAGAAACCAAGGAAATTGGGCTGGCGGCCTCTCCTCAATTTGCCACAGGGTGTCACTGTTACTCTTGGCAAGTGAAGGAGGGTTCTCACTGTACCTGTGTGATCCATAGACGCTGCAATCCCACTGGAACGGGACTGAAAGTATTTACCAAGTACTTTGACAAAAGGAAAAAAAAAAGAATATTCTAAAGACGTCACTCTGTAAAATCACAATTAAATAAAATAATTAAATAAAATATTCTGAGAGTGATCGTGATGCTCCTTTAGACAACATGCTGACTGGGGACCAAAGCTCTCTGCTCTCTGCTGCCTGTTCTGTCAGCAGAACTCTAGTCAACACAAACCATTAGAAGACCCCAAACAAACTCCCAAACCCAGAAAAAAATCGGGAACAGTTCTAAAGCACTAGATCCTAAACAATGTACAGCTCAAAGAGCAGTGTGCCTTTCACACTGCTGCAGACATGCAGAAGAGGCTCCTCCAGCACTGCCTCCTGCTCTCAGACTGGGCTGAAAGAGCACAGGATAACCTCAACACTTACTACAGAGATGAAGCTCTGAGCCCAGCACAAAAACCTGCTCTCAATCCATGCAAGGATTATCTCTCAATAAATAATACAGTGGAATAGCCTCAAACATTGCAAAATATATGAGAGCCATGACCTTTTTGGTACAGATCAGCAAAAAAATGCTTTGAGCTCAGTGATGTACAGAGAACCAGGATCAAGTTTAAGAAGAAAACTGAGTAGTAATTATCATAATACAAAAAACCTTAAATGTATGAGAGGGTGAGTAGCAATTGCTGGTGAGAAAGGAGAAAGGAGATTTGCCTCTAGTAGGAAGGAATTAAAATAAAACACATCATGCGCTGCTGCACATACTCCAAACAGTTACTTTCATTAAACCTGACTTCAGCTTCTGCTCAGGCTCATTTTCTAACGCCAGTGCAGCAAACAGGCTTCCATTCTACGTGGCTGAAATTGAAGCAGACTGTAAATGAAGACATATTTCAATGCCTGTGCTGTCTCATTGTTGTGTTGCCACTTCCTGATGGTATCAGGACAGCCAGGCAGGCACCCACCCTGCCAGGCCTTTGTGATCTTGCCATCTCTGCTAAGAAAAACTTAGAGGTTCAATAATTGCATATTAGAGTATATATACAGCTGCATAAATAACACTGAATTTTCATGTTGTCCATGTTCT